TAGTTTTTTTGTCTATCTTACAGAGACTGGATGAAGTAACCATTTAATGCAAAGACTTCTTCTTCTACCACTTCTCCTTCTATCCTCTTGTTCTTATTCCTATCTATCCACTTTAAGAACAGTCATGTAAATTCACGATGCGCATCGATGTTCTTCCCTTTCCGTGTTTATGCTTTTCTATTATCTTTACTAACTGTTTCTAATTGTTAAACCTGCATTTTTAATTGCGTATGAATAATACATGAGATATGCATATGTGTATGGCGATAAATTAAATGTAAATAGTACATTGAATTAGTTACAATTTATTTATAAAAAATATATATATATATATATGTATGTGTGTATGTGTAGGAGCGGTACGGGTGGCCCAAGAACAAAGTGACGTGAGTGAACGATAAAGAACAAATGAAAAGAAAGAGTGTGTGTATGAAAGTACGTGTAAGATGAAGGGGATCGCTTTCTTCCCAGTATGTTTTGTTTATAAGATGTACAAGGTGACACTGACTTATCGCTAATTGCGTACAATCGCGCCGAAGTTTCTAGAGAATTCCCGCCGAACTGGAAGGAAGGAAAAAGGATTCGGATGTCTGGCAATCAAGAATGGTCGAGAAGTTTCGAAAAAGAAAGTAAGAACTGGGGAGGGAGGTGATGTATAAATTAGCGGCGGAAAAAACCGACGAAGGGAGTTTGTTTTTGGAGGGCTTTGACGTGTTTGTCTGCGATGGCGTATATCGGTCGATTATAAACCCAAGTTTAATCAAGTCAGATCACATTACGTTATCTAAAGATCGTGAGGTATTTCTGTAGCGCTATTTCTATCATCTATTCGGTGTATGTTAATTACACACCTCTACACTGAACCCAATCCTATCTATATATATATAGATAATTAAGTAATGTAAGTTAAGAATTTAAATATAAATTTAATGTATTGAGTTGTTCGGTAAGTTCGGTTATCTTCAATAGAAAACACGATAAAAATTATTCATTAAATTAAAAATAAAAACATAAAACTTGATTCGTTAATTTTGTTATAATATTTGCACAAAATTAATAATTGTTAAAATTACTATATATCCACAAAATATCTGGATAAACTTTTATTTGTATTACCAATAGTTATATTTATAGACTGAAACAACTCTTTTTTTAGAGATAAAATTATTTTAGAAAAAATAAAAAAGAAAAATATAGAATGAATTATAGTCACAGCAATTAAATTTGAACATATATTAATTATTTAAATATGCACGACTTTTTTAATTGAAGTATTCGAAAATTATAATGACCGCACACGTAATTATAATAAATCTTAAAATTAAATTAATGTCTAATACACAAACTTTCGAGATCTCGATCGAAATATTGATAAAATTTCCTATTAATACAAAAACAACAATTATAATATATTATAAAAATACATTTATATATATTATAACACAAACATTCGAGATCTCTTTCAAAAAATTAGAAAGCAAAGTGTGATTGCAAACAAAACAAATATAATAAATTTGGAACTAACATTAGCATTACTAGACGCTTTTAAGATCTTCATTTAAGTGTCCGAAAACCACTGTGACTGTGCACTTACAATTAGTATAATTTAGTAAACTATTCTCTGGTTTCTGGCATCTCGCCTACACATTTTGGACATCTATCTTTCTCTCTTTTTCTCTTCCTCTCTCTCTTGGCGTGGATCTACGAAAATACCATTCCCGGCAAAAGTCTGGATCGTTAAATCGCTGCTATAAATAAACCCGAACGGCCTTGGTCAACCTTCTTCGAGTTCGTCGACTCGAACCGGTACCTTCGCACGCGTGCCGAGTTATTTCGCTACGAAAGTACGACGAAGACGCATAGACATTGTGAAGAAGGGGAAACGAAAGAGTTTATTCCTTTGTTTTACGATACTTTATATCAAATTCGGTCGTTAAAATCTTAACTTCTAACGTTCGATTTTAACGTAAATAAATTGACTTATAGTACTGTACCTAACGTTCCCCCCATTTTATTTCCCTTTTTTTAGTTACGTTTCGTTCTAATTTAACGATTATTTACGTAAATATTTGTATAACTTTATTTATACAATAGAAGTTGAGAAATTTTCAAATTCATTTACAACGATTTGTTCTTTAATCAAAAAATCAAATTGTTTGTTAGACTCAAAACTTTTCCACCCAATTACATATAATCAAATCGATGTTCGTTTTAAAAATTTTGATTTTATTACATTTTGAAATAAATCAAAGTAATCGCGTTGTAATATAAATCACTCTTTGTATTCCGCACACGTTACTAGTTTTCGAAAGTATCTCTACGTAAACACTTTTCTATGGACGAATATTTCTGTGTCTTTATTTAGTTATTGTTATTTTATTTGTTACTTTTGTTCTCTTGTATTTGTTCCTCTTAGCTATTCGTTGGTTACAGCTGTATGTATGGTAACAGTAGTATTTTATAATGCATCGAAACGTTCAATTCTAAGTTTCCCTAAACTCACACGACCCTTTCATTCCTCCTACCCCTCGCGCCTTAGCAAAGATTTTAGTGTCGAATGCCGAAATGTTGATTTATCGAATATAACGAAAGTGGTGTCAAAAACAAAACAAAAAAATATCCCAACGACAAAAATAAAACAAAAATATCTGTCCCATATATTTTTTTTTTTTCAGGAAACAGTTCGTAAAATTCATAACGTTCGAAAACAACAAATCAAATATTTTTATTTCTTTTTTTCTATTTTTATTTTTTGATCGATGACTAATACCAATCGAATGTTGGCTTGAAAATATGTAAATCTGGAAAAAGAATATCTATGTTTAAAAAAAAAAGATAAAGGTCGACTGCTGCATAAAAGGAAATTTTTAATTTCGAACGTTATCCAATTTTCATTTATCTCTTAAATAAGTTTCTTAATGTGTTTGTATGTTGGTTCTATGTTGAGTATAAATATATCTCGAACAGTAGCAAATATGTATATCCTGCTAAAGAGAATTTCTTGTAGAAGAGACAATTTCTGCATCAAGGTTTGTCAAATGATAACACGGATCTTTTTATTAATATTTTAAGATCAATACTTGAGAAAAGAGAATGGATAAATTTTAAAATAAATAATCTATAAACCGAGTACATTTCGAATTAAATTTTTATCAGTTTCGGTAGAAATTGTTACGTCATCTCATGTACTTATATATATATCTCAATATTTTTATATAATTTATCAAAAAAGAATATAGAGATAATTTTCTAAAAGTGTTACTTACTATATTGTAAATATTATATATAGTAATTTATTTTATACACTGTAATAACATCTATACGTAATGTATTTTATTATGGAAATAATATAGTAATTAATATATACATAAGTGATATATGTTAGTGAGTTGAAAAGTTTTGAGCCTAACATAGAAACAATTTTTGTTCGAACAAACTAATTTTTATTTAAAAAAAAGGTTCTCTTTTCGAGATTCTCAACTCCATTCTCGTGTATAAATTATTAAAATTAATAGAAAAATTATTTCATACTTGATACATACGAATTATTTAACTTTACACAGATTTTATGCAATAATATGAACAAAATTTTCTTCTATAAAATAAAATTATATATTGATAAAAAAACTTTTCTTTTCTTAAAAAAAAAAACAGTTCTATATATAAGTCTTATAGAAATGACGTAACAATAGAATAGATAACTTATTAATATTAACTGATAATGTAGACAAGTCGTCATACGCAGACTAACGATCGTTATTCCTCGTTAATTTTCGTGACTTTCTGTCAGTTTCAAATTACGTATTAACCACGCATGTAGCTGGACCGAACACGATCGTATCAATGATCCGACATCTGACGCGTTCACGAAATGATTATCCCACTTGCGGTCAGGATCGTTAAATATACGTACATATACATATAGGATATCTCAAAATATGTGTACATAACTTTAGGACTGGTTTTATTTCACGTAATATTACAAAACAAATTGTCATACAATTATTTTCTTATATTATACGCGTTGTTATATGATTTTCATAAAAACTGTTCAAAGTATTCTCAGTATTATTAGCTGATCTATTGCAAATTGAAGATTTTAAGTATCCTCGTAAATAAAAACCCAACGGATTTAGATCAAGCGATCGGGCTGGCCAATTAATTGGCCCTCCACGACCAATTCATTTATTTTGGAATTAAATGTCTAACATAAGATAAGTAGCTTACTCGTAAATACAATAGTTAAAGCAAACAGTCATTAAAGTTATATGAATATGAATAGAAGATAAAAATAACTTTAATTCAAACAATTTTTCTTTTTTTTAGTATATCGAAACCATCTCCGTTATACTCACATATTTTGAAACATTTTGTATATATATATATATATATATATCCACAGTTAATAGTACTTATTCTTAAACCTACACTTCACAGTGTATCAATTCATAGTGTGATATATAATTCTTTGATTATACTAAAAATAAACAGTTCCGTTTCACTTCTCTATAAATATATTTACTCGTAAAATTTATTCGTTCAATTTTTCCAAAATAAAAATTTACTTTTAATTCGTTCACTTTGATCAAATCTTCCTTGGAATTTTTAATCAAAGATTACAAGTAAAAAGATAAAAACAAATAAGATCATCAGAGAAAGAATTGAATCTTTTATTTTTCGATTGTAAAACGATAATAATGACTGACCTGATTGAACGAAAAACCACGTGACCTGGCAACGCACGTTTCGAAACTTTCCCTCTGTGAGAGCACAAATTACTATACATACATATGTGAATATATGTATATATATATATATATATGAGTACGATCGAGTTCACTCACATTAGAAGATAGGAACTTTTTTATTAGTATTTTTCTCTCTTATTCTCGAAAACAAAACTAACGTTTTAACTACAGAGTTCGAAAGAAGAATAGAAACGAGGAATTACGATCGGGAAATAAATGAGGCTCCATATATGTTTACAAGTAAATATTTACCTGTATCAACTGTGTAAAACAGAGATAGAAGAGATGCAACTAGCTATAACTGGTTGGTTTCAGTTGGTTGATTGGTTGGTTACTTGGTTGCTTGGCTAACACGAGATATATCACACAATTTCTTCTTTTTGTCACAGCACTGCAAAACGAAGGTGGTCGATCGAACGAAACGTTTTCCTCTACTACTATTTAAACGAAATTCGTTCTTTTTATTTATTTCACTTTCACTGACTCAATAAATTAAGGAAAAAGAAATCACAACCGTAAGTACAAAAAGATTATCGTATCTAATAAAAGATTGAGAACAAAATTCGCTTTTTTTAATCTAAAAATTGACTAATAAAAGTAAATGCGATCATTTCGTATTTAATTTCATGTAAAAATCAAATTTGTCGAACTTGGTCGTTAAAATAATTTACGTATGTGAAGGTCCGTTCAAATAACGATGCACGAAAACTGTTTAATATTTCCGGTATGAAAAATTCGTCGAGTATATTAGACGAAGATTGCCGAACGTCTCGAACACAGAGTAATATGGCGTTTTGATAACCGAATATTCTTTATGTTCCACCAACGATAGTTAATAAACAAACTGATCGTTTTTTTCCTTCTTTTTATATTAGCTTACAGTTAATTCGTAAGATCAACGAAAATATTTATTTACGTGCGTGCAACAATCCAGTGAAATTCGATAGAAAGACAATAATTTTGCTCCTTCGATGTTTTCTATCCGTTGATTTATTTTCGTGTTTTTTTTCTTCTTTCTTTTTCTATTATTCTCGCACTTTCGTTCACCCGATAGTTCGTTATCTTTATCTAACTCGTTATCACGGCGATAAAACAACTATTTTCACTAAAGCGGAGAACAACGTTGTCGAGTAATTCCAGGAATGCGATAAGTTGTCTATTTCTGTTTCTTCTTTTTTCATTCGTCAAATACAAGGAGTACACATTAATGAGGAAAAATATCAACGTACACTTACACTAGGTTTTATTAACGAACGATTAAATGTCTGTTATCGTCGGAACTTTCGAAAGTTCGTTTATTAATTTTCTAGAGGGACTGAAAAAGACGACGATGATGAAGAGAGAAAGAGAGAGACAATGAAAAACACGTCCACTCCCAACCGCGTCCGAAACAGCACTGAGAAGCTGAATACGAGAAACCACGAGTGGCTGAAGCCTCCCGCTACTACCGAAGGTTACCGAGCTTACTCGAGGACGTCCGAACTCGGTAGACTTGCTAGACGCGTTGACTTAAGCGTCACTTCCCTCTCGGCACTCCACCGAGAAGGTTATCGTGTTCGATGAATTCTTACGACTCCTGACATAAAATCGACCTTGGGTAAACACTCCAGAACTTCGATTTATTTAATGAGGTACTACTACCATATATTTTTATATTTTTATTACATAAATAAGAATTATTATTTTTTGTTTGTTTTGTGTTACTTTCTCATATCAAAATAGAAAATACATAAAAAGTGTAGTAAGAAAATAAAATCGTACAAATTCGCGAGATCACCAGCTATTTCTCAAATGTTTCCTAAGCTCGACGTGTGATTTATGGTTGTTATCGCAACTACCGTATACAAGCTTGTAGTTCTTCTCGTTTGAAATTTGCTGCAAGTGCGTGATGGGAATCGTTTCACTTCCTAGAGAAAGACTTTTCGTGCGTCCTTTTTAACTATAGTTTGCTGCTCCGTTTGTGAACGCGAGACAATGGATGGAAACTCGAATGCGAGATGTGCATGATTCGATACGATATAGTTCTAATTGGAAAGAAAATATAGAGTAGTAAATAATGTAGTTTGAGATTTGTACTTTTTTGAAAAAAAAAAAAATAAAAAATAAAAATAATCTCAAAAGAAATTATAGCATTTCGTTTTAATATTATTCAGCAAATATGTATATTTGTAATACTTAATAATGAGATTACTAAAAATTTTTCCGAGTCAAAGTATTCTTTATAAAATATTTCGTGATTTTCCATTTTACGTCTTTCATATTAATGCGATGTTAAAGTAAGCCATGTAATCGGCTTTAAGGATAAGATTCTACTACAAAACTAACGTTTCAACTTTGTTTTGCCGATAACTATTTTAAAACTTTGATAAAAGTATACGAAAGATATATTTCTAAATATTCCGTTATATTAAAAAAAAAGAATATTAGTAAATTAATAAACAACAACAAAGATGATATTTAACCCCCTACTCGTATTTAACCCTAGAATATAATAGAGAGAACTTAAGGAGTAACTCCTAGGAGTATGGTTACTAGCATATCTTATCCTCTTACATTCTAGAAACCTAACAACATCGAGACTCTACCTCATGCAACCTGAAAATGTTTAATGCAAACTTCCTTGTTTCGCTAGTATGGTACACCTTTGCTATCGATTCGAGGGAAAGCAATTCTCGTATATGTGTGAGAATAAGTTCTAAAATATAATATACAGGCATATTTTATTTTTCCTTACACAAATACGGAAAAACTTTTTCCTCGATCTGTATAATATATTGTACTTTATATCTCATTTAATTTTAAATTATTTAAAATTATAATATCTCTATTTTACATATAAATAATAATAATATCACATATCATATAATTGCATATAAAGTAATTTATCAAAAAAAAATACGAAAAAATTTTTGATTCAACCTAATAATTAAATACCAGAGATAATTTGTTCCTATAATTTTATTCGAAAATTTAATTTAGTCACAAATATACAAAGATGAGATTATTTGAGCTAGAAGTCGGTAAAAAAATAAAAAGAGAAAGAGAAAAGATTGAAGTCTTCGCTCGAGACGAGTCATCCAGATCTTACAATTAGCAAGATACCACGATATTTTAATTCGCAGTCCAGTAGAAGCAGCCGTGAATCCGTAAGATTCGAGGCATTAAGAGGTTTCTTCTCTTTTCCTTCGTTTCCTACTCTTTTTCATGACGGGAGGAATACTTTTTTTCTTTTCTTCTTTTCCTCTCAACGGCACATCGTCGCTAGAAGAGTTACGTGTACTTCGTTGAAAATTTATTCACGATGAGGAGCTTTTCACCAGTCGATGCGATTTCCTTTAAAGGAAAAAGGACGATTTTTCAGCCGTAAGAAATAATAATAATAATAATAATAATAATGATAAAACATATTTTTTATGAAATATATATTTATTTATATATTATATCAATAAGTATGAAATGTCTGATTTCGAATTGAAAGTAATCGAAATAATTTTGGACGTTTATTACTTAATTATTTAATATAATAAAATCATTTTTATACACATATTCGTGATTACTTTCAACGTTATTTTGTGCGTTAAACGTAGTAAGTGTAAAGTTTTAGCGACGCCCCCAATTGTAACAACAAAGATCTTTCTTTCAATTCAAACCACGATTTAATCAAATTTGATAAAGCTTAGAGAAAAGTCTCTGAGTCGAAACGTGGACACGTTCGTTGAACTTTGATCTTACATTCGCACGTTTCCTTTGTACATTCCAATCACGTTTAGACTTTTCTTTAAACTTTTTTTTTGCTTCACAAAGTTTCTAACTAATAAAGTAGTGTTCTTCTATCGTAATATTGTTTTATTTTTATTTCGGTAACATCTAAAAAGGCTACATCGACGTTTCCTCATTTGCTCATTACACTTTTAGTTTACAGTTTATCATTTTGTTTTATGGTTTCATTTTGATTTTATTTAACTACAGTTGAAGACAAGATAAAGTTATATAAATGTATTCATTCATTTGATTGTTTAATTAATATAATTAAAGCTTACAAAAAAGAAATTAAAAAACAACACATATATGTATTTATTCATTAACTAACTGAGCACTGATTCATGAACTTATTCACTGATTGACTGATTCATTCACTCATTTGCTCTTTCTCTCAAAACTCGTCTTTGTACAAGCGAAGGATCTGTAAGTTTAATTTGATGCGAAAGTCCAGTATGCCCGAGAGTGTCGCGACCGTTCTCGAAGGAACTTGATTGCTTTGTCCTCGGAGACTCTAATATGAATTACAAACCCGCTCCTTTCTTCTTTTCTTTCATTTCCCCTTTTCTTCCTTTCCTCCTTCTGTGACTTCACTCGTGCCGTCTATATACAATTCCTTTTTCAGTTTCCATCCGAAGAAATAGTGTTTCTCGGTGAGACCAGAGAACTAAGATCGCGACAGTTTCGTGGAAAGTTTATCGACTTTCCTTTTCCTACCAAGGAATCCTAACTCGTACCTAATACATAAACTATTACGAATTTTTTATTCCACTAAAGAAACTATATCGTGGTATGTATCTTGCGGGATAAGAGAAGTTTACTTTTGAAGAATAATTTTATCATTTTCTTTTTCAAGTTATCCAAGAAAGAAAAATTTTTCTTTAATTATGTATCAAAGGATTGATTATTATTCCATTAACTATAAATGTTCAATAGTCCAGGAAATGATAAATTGTTGTAATATTTAACTGGAGTATTTTTATTTAAAATATTTTGCTTCAATATCAATGATATTGTTTTCATTATGTTTAAATAAAGTTTGTTAATACTATTAATTTAATTTGATAATAATTTAAATATTTTTATTAGAGTAATGTATAACAAATATTAAGAATGAAGTAATACAATTTTTGTCTTCTTTTTTTATTATGCCATACTTGTGACAAAATATTTACTTGGCAATATTAATTCGATATAATATTAATTTTTGTATTTTTATTTCAATGGCAATGGATTGTGAAAAATAACGATAATATATTAAATTAATATTGCTAATATAATGACTAAAAGTGTTACTATGAAATAATAAAGGAAAGAAACGTTATTTTACAACTATGTACGAAATAAACGATAATAAAAAGCTATGATATAATAAGTAAGTAATATGAATATAAAAATATAATTTAACAATAAGTATTTATATAAAAATACGAATGACTTTTATTAAAGTAATAATATGTTTATTACTATAACGACAAATCGAGAACGAACACGAATAAGGAAAGATATTTTGGTTCTCTTTTTATGATGTCGTAGTAATACGTTTGGTACTTTGCAATTTGAAGCAATATTTCGTAGAGCATCTGATAAGAACCGTAGAATAGAATCGAGATTAATACCAACCTCTTTTTCCGCGAAATCCACCGCCGTCGAATTCATCTACCGATGAAATGCTAAGAGCAAACGTTCTCTGGAAAGAGGAAGGATAGAAGAAGAAGAAGAAGAAATGAGAAAGTGTGAGTGAGCGAGAGAAGCTGAGAGACTCGAGGTGACGGCCGGCTTGCAGATTACGAGGGAGATGAAAATTCGGGTTCGCTTCTGAGAGCACGTCGTTGTGTTCTTATACGAGCGTAATCATCGAGCGTGTCCTATTCTAGGACCTTTCCCTTCAAGTTTCACAAATTTTCCCATGGGAAAACTTTTCGAATGGCTTCGAACATAATAATCATAAAATTTCTATTCCGTTATTGGATAGATGATATCGTATGATTAGAAATTTTATTAGTATTATTACAATTATTATCATTTCTAAAAGTTATACTATTATTAGTTACTAGTATTGTTAATATCAAACTTTTACAAAAACAAGTTAAAATGTTGCAATAAGTGTTATTCCTTTTTTGTTTTTTAATTAATTTTACATCAAAATAATTGTAATAAGTATTGTTGTATTTGCTATCCAAAAAAATTATTTATTAAAATTACTAAAAGAGTTACTCAGAAATATTAATAAAATTTAATCCACTACTCGCGGTTAAGTGATCGAGTTTTTAATTTTAGAAATTACAATTTTTTAGAATAAACGTTATTATTTTTTTTTATTTATATATATATAATTTTACTCTATTATGGTAATTATAATAATTTATTGTTACCTAAAAATTATTTTATGTATTATTTAAGCCATTAGCTAAATTAATAATTAGATACATTTTTCTCTATCAACAGTTTCGAAGATATCTAAGTAAATTGATTTTAATGGGATACTCTGTGTATATATTAATAATTTTGAAAAAGGAATGAATATTTTTAGAAATTTTTTGATTCTTTCCCATATCTTAAAAAATGATGTTGAATTTTCTCACGATAGATTCAATTATTATAGAAATATACTTTCAGTAACTCACCTTAGGCCCTTCGTTGATGTTGCCAAGCATT